ATGTGTTGGGGGGCTGGTCTAAAGGGAGTCAAAAGGGGGAGGTGGGGACTGATAGGATCAAGATATGTTGTATACACATATGAAATTGTTAATAGTTAAAATTCTTTTTTAAAAAAACTGATAAAACTACTCAATGCCCAGGGACTTGAGCAATGCTAATGTCTGGGTTCTGCCCTGTTATATTAAGAATATTAATTCACCAGGCGTGGTGGTGTGAGCCTGTAATCCCAGCACTCGGGAGGCAGAGGCAAGTGTATCTCTGTGAGTTCAAGGCCAGCCTGGTCTACATAGTAAGTTCCAGGTCAGCTGGAGCTACAGGGAGACTCTGCCTCAAAAAGACCAAAGGGGAAAAAAAAAAGGATATTAATTCCAGGCTGGAGAGATGGCTCAGCAGTTAAGAGCACTGACTGTTCTTGCAGAGGTTTGATTCCCAGCACCCACAACCATCTGTAACTCCAGTTCAGGTGACCCAACTCCCTCTTCTGACCTCTGCAGACAGTGCACAACATGGGTGCACTTACATGCAGGCAATACACTCATACACATAAAATAAAAATAATACATAATAAAATATTTTTTAAAAAGAATATTAATTCCTCTAGTACTTCCTATCTCCAAGGCCACCCCATCAGACTCAACCTACTTCCTGAGGAGCCAACGGCCTCCTGGCTGGATGCCTCCGGGTGTGATGTCTTTACAGCACTCCTCCTTGAGAAGCCCACGCCCACGCCCTGAGCTGTGCCTTGCTTTCTTCGAGCACTTCTATCACTCATGCTTACACCTATATTAAAATATCTTTAATAAAATCTTAGAGGAAAAAACTCAAGGGTTGGATGTAGTTTAGTAGTAGACTTTGTGCTTAGCATGCACAAGGCCCTGGCTTTGATCCCCAAAACTAAAGATAACACCACAGAACAGAAAACCATGAAGTTGGTCAGGTCACTTCTCTGCTTAAAACCTAGATGAAGGGCCAGGGAGATGGCTCAGTGAGAAAAAGTGCTGGTTATGCAAGCCTGACAATCTGCGTTCAGTCCCTGGAACCTGTGTAAAAAGCTGGATTCGGTGGCCCCGATCTGTAATTCCAGCACTCATGTGTTGATGTGGGAGGTAGAGACAGGAGAATCACCTGGAAGTTCACAGGAGAGCTAGCCTGGAGTACACAGTAAAGCAACAGACACAAGACCCTGCCTCCCAAAAGTTACCTTCTGACACACACACACACACACTATTTTTTAAATTTTATTTTTTATTTTATGTGTATGCATGTATTGCCTGTATGTAGGTAAGTGCACCAGTGTCATTTTAAAACCTTAGATCAGTCTACCTTGACTTCTACTCCAAAAGAACCACTGCTGACCCCAATAATTATTCTGCTTATTTGTTTTATTATGTAGTGGTTTATGCAACAAAATATAAATTCTGTAAGGTCAGGGGCTTATGTATTATTTTTTCAACACATTACTTACTGTTTACTCTAAATTTAGCACATAAGTACTCAATTAATAAACTGAATAAATGACATAGAGGGACACAAAAAAGCCTTGGCCAAATTGCCAATGACACCGAAGCAGAGATAAACTAATACGACATTATACATTATACAGTTCTTTGGTTCTGTCTTGGAAGACACCAAAAAGTCTGAGGTCAGAAAAGGAATAACAATTCCCTTTGAACTTTATATGAAATGTGTAAGAATGACTTTTCTGGACAAATAGAATCTTACCTAACCATGTAACCAAAGCTAATCTTATATCTTGAGATCATTTAACACTGTGATCTTTTTTGCCACCCACATGTTCTCTTGAACAACATCTTTAATGTATTTAAGTGATAAAACAGGTTCTTGTTCATTATATTACTAAATAAACAGCACAGGAAGGTATGAAGAGGTCATAATTCTCACGAACCCTGCAGCACATAAGTGAGCACTGCTACGTAAGTATCACCAGGAATACAAATAAGCATAAAATCCTCCCCAAAGATTCTGACTCAGTGGAGCAGAATGGGGCATCTTGACAAATCTCTAGACGTTTCTGATGTAAGGTCCGTAAATCATTTCTTGAGAAATTCCGCTCTACAAGGAATGGAATGGGTGGGTCTGGAAAACAAAGAGGGCGTCAGCTAGCTCTAAACAAGGAAGAGTCTGTTGCTGATACAGGAAGCATGTTTGTTCTAGATTGTTTTCTCTGGAGCACCTAAAGTTTGAAGCCTAAAGATAATTATAAAAAGAAAATTCCAAATATTTAGATACAACTGTAAAACAAAATCAGAGCACAGAGCCAGGAAGGAAGGGAGCTGTAAAAGTCACAATGCAACCCCTTTGGGTTGAAAAACAAATGATAGGAGTGAGGTGGGAAGTGCAAGAAACATCACACACACATACAGATACATACATATGTGTATACACATATATGTGTACATGAATAAAAGAACTCCTGCACCTTGGACTGAACTTCCTGCAAGGCTGACCAACTGATTATCACTCCAAAGGGTATGGAGAATTTGGAATGTTACAGGCCCAGAGTCTAATTACCATTTATCTCGGACCATCTTTAGTCCCCCAAACAGCTACTCCTTACCCACCTCTGTTTCTGATCTAACATCCTGTGGCTAACAGATGAAAAACCTTTTAGAATGTATTAACTTAGCAGACCACCAGGTCTCACCAATCCAAAAGCTAGGAATGTCATCACATACCATCTGAGACCTATAATAAGAACCCTCCCTCTTTGCTGCAACCCGCCTACTGAATGGATCCTCCAAGATACTTGAAAAGTGTCTTGATTTATGACTTTTCTTTATTCTGTTACCATAAAAGTGTAAGACAACTGTTACCACGCTAGAACATGGAATTCGGGGTAACCTGAATCTGTGTTCCCGGGCCATGGTCGCTCATATTTGGCTCCAGAATAAACTCTTATCCCCTTTGAGGTGAGAGTTATGTTTTTGCATTGACAACATACACACATATACAGAAACACATATGCACACACATTCAAACACACACACACATATAAACATACACACACACTTTCTTCTCTTTATAAATACATGGACAGGAATGTAACCCACTAGACAGATGGTATGTGTCTTAACCCAAATTAAACAACAGCTATTTGCTTTTAACCATATGTCCCCAGCTCTACTTGGAAGGCCGAGGAAAGTAGAGAAAGGAGACCACACAGCATTTTTTTAGAGGGAGTCTTTTTATAGTTCAGTGGGTCTGTCCAGGCTGTGTCCTCACAATTCCAGAGCCACAGATTTAAAGTTCTTCTGCTTGTCAATAAACAAGTACTGTGGACAGTGAAGCTTGATAAATTCCATGCTGCTTTGGTGACAGCACTGACACAGCCCATCCGCCGTAGTTAAATAAAAAGCCATTGATTTATGCTAGGGCAGAACCAACCATCGCACTGTTTGCCACAGTAATCTGCTGATCCAAGGGGGTGTGAGCCAACTGTTGGCCACTCCTGTGCCCTGGCAGAAACCCAACGAGCCTCCACTGTGGGGCAAGAATGCGTGCTACCAGGTCTGTTTATATCCTCTTTCCTCCCATTTAAAACAAACCAGAAGCTTCTGGCTCCATTTGAAAAGGTAAGCAAAGCCTAGAAACATTCCTTGTGAGAATGTCTGGGAGCATCCATTTTCAGATTTGACCTTGAGCCAAACAGTGACTGAAGGAGCTGCAGAGATGGCTCAGCAGTTAAGAACACTTGTTGCTTTTCCAGAGGACTTGATTTTGGTTCTCAGCATCCACATCAGGTGGCTCACAACCACCTGTACCTCCAGCTCCAGGGACCCAATATCCTCTTCTGGCCTCTGCAGTCACTCACTCGTGGCACACACACACCAGTAAAATAAAAATAAAACTTAGAAAACTAGTGACTGGAGTGCTTCACTACACCCTTACTTGGGCCACTATCACTGCTGTGGGCCCTGCTTTGCAAGTCATGATACCATTGACTTTATTACACTTTCGCTGGGGGTGCATATGGGTGGAGGCCAGAAGTCCCTGTGAGATGTCTTCATCTTATCTTTTGACAGAATCTCTCCCAGAACACAGAGCTCCTCTGTTTTGGGTAGGCTGACAGGTCAGCAAACCCCAGGGATTCTTTTAGCTCAGCATTGCTTGCTTTCCCAACGCCCAGCCCAGCTCTGGGGTTACAGAGTTCCCCAGCAGTGCGGGGCTTTTACATGGGTGCTGGGGATCTGAACTCGGGTCCTCATGTTTGTATGACAAGTATTTTACCAGCTAGATTGTCTCTCTCCAACCTTGCCCACTTGTACGTTTGTAAAATTTTGTACTTTTATTTTATTAATTTATTCCAGGTTGTCCCCCTTTCTTAACTGGCACAGCTGTGTTTGACAGGGTTATGTGCATCAGCTCTCCTGTTGAGCACCTACTGCCTTATCAATAAACTGTGCTCCAGGTACCAGCTTCACTCTCATTCAACAATCTAAAGGGCTAGGCACTGGGCCTGGAAAGGGAAAACTGCTTCCCAGAGCACAGGGCTAGCAGTCAGGAGGCTGCCTGCTCCTCCACCACCTCCCTCTCCTGAAAGGAACAAGTAAACTGCTCTGAGGTGCCGCCTGCTGCCCGCAGCGCTGCCAAAGTGAGATGCTGTGGGTGGGGAGTGGACAGCTGCTCCTCCCAGGCCGATGACCTCCAGGGGGCCCAGAACCCGCCCTGTGCGCTGCGCTTCTCAGCTTCCCACCTCCCGCATCCCAGCACGCAGAGCCATAGGTCTGCCTTCTGGACCGGCTCTGGTACCACTTTCCTACGGGACGATGACCAACTCCCACCTTAATCCGTCTCAGATTTCTGCTCCCTTCCCTGATCTCTGACGGTCTATTCATAATTACAGTTTCTTAGTAAGGATTCTTCACTGCCGCTTGTATTTTCCCATTGTTTTAATGGAGAGAGTCTCACTAAAAGCTGCCTCACATCCTACGACAGCCGATAAGAAACGAAAATAATATTTTGTCGTAGCCCAGCTTACCTTCCTGGGCCTCAGTTTCCCACCGTGGATCAGGTGGCTTGCGCTCCGATGGGACTCAGAGCTACACGGGGCGGGGTGCGGCCTCGGTCCCCACCTGGTGTTTCTGACCTGTCCAGCAGCTGCTTCCCGCACCCCTCGGTCCCATCCAGTCCGGGGCTGCACTCACCGCGCACGCGCTGGGTGCCCGCGTCCGTCACTGGCACAGAGCTGGGTCCGCCGGGAGCGGAGCCGGAGGCCCGGTAGCGCGCCGGGAGGCTGAGCCCCGGCTGCGAGTGCGCGCTTCTGCCTTGGTCGATTGTCTCCGGAGCAGGCTGCTTTCCGCTCGCTAGCGCTCCCAGACCGCAGGCTGTATGGGCGGGGCGAGTACCTGGGCACTCACCTTCCCAGCTTCCCTCCCGGGCGCCTCCCCTGGTCCCCCAGGACCGGCGTA